TAGGTATTCCAACAAGTTTGAATATGCTCTAGGTGAATTAGTTATGGTTAAAAATGTCAAGAAAACCAAATTTGATGTTTTTAGTAACGGTCCTTTTTTGATTTCCAAAGTTTTAGGTAAACATACTTATGAAATTAGTACATTATCCCATAGAGTTTTAGGTACTTATGATGTTAATAGGATATTTCCTGCTTATCAAGTCCTTGGTTCACCAATTCGGTCTTATTCTGATATCTCCAAACAAATTTTTTTAGCTGAAAAACAATTTGTGGCCCACAATCTTCAGCCAGGTCAAGATGATTAATGCTTTTGCTCATCGTCTTGTTTTATTTTCTTTTATGCTTCACTTATTCTAGGTCCTGTTGCTTTAAATCCATTCATTAGATGCTTTTTCAGGTTCCTTTTCATTCTCCATTCTACTCATTTTTATTATTTTGGCTCTCCACTTTGGTACATACCCAGCCATTTCATTTTGTTTTTACCTGATCATCAACTCCTTCATTTGCTTTCACGGTTTTCTTATCTCAAATACCGGGGTATTGTTGATTGATCACTAAATTACCATTTCCATTGAATTAGGCTTAGGTAATCATCATAGTTTATTTACATGTTCATTATGACCACAACTAGATCAGTTATGTGAAATTAGAGTACCAAAGCTGGACAACTTGAAGAATCTCATATATTCAGAGATTCGCACTTTATTTATATAGTTCAACCTTTTAATAGAACTCAAGCTTATATTACACTATTTTTTATTAGATCTCATTCTTATATCATTCCACATAAAACGGGATGAAGCATTTTTTTTTCGTGAAATCTTCCTCCCATACAAATTTTGAAAAGCTCGTGGCCGTAACACCAAATCCGCTGCCCGAACCATGAAAACTTCATCAAAATCAAGGTCCAGAAAACAGGTCAAGTTCAAACACTTATAGAACATACAGTTTTTGATTTATTTATTAGATTTTGGAGATATAGATTTATAATTGGCAAATTAATATGACTACCAAATTTCAGAGAGATTACACCTGTGTTGGTTGTTCTGTAATTTTGTCCAAATTTGACCTCCATAGTTAACTCCTGGCCGAAGACATTTGTCCAAGGTGTGATAAAAGGCCAACTTCAGAATTTGAAGCAAACGAAGCACTTGAAAAGGTTAAAAGACTATAAATGTATTTCAATTGGACTCAGGAATTATTTGGCTCTTCAAGTGCTGAAATCTGATGAGTTTTGAATAGTTTTGTGAATTTGTCGCCAAATGGCTTTGGACTTTAGACAACTCCAGTGGGAGATAAAAACTTTAACTAGACATCTAGAGAGTTGTAGCGCCTTTTACTGGAAAACTAACAACAATATTACAGATCTATAGCAATGAAGTTATTTAATAGTTCAAAGCTATATTTCTACACAAGCGCAGCTAGGAGATGTCTTCTTACCTTGAGAAACCACGGTATAATACCAGCCTAATGACACGCCATTCAATGGCAGGTTTTTTCACGTCCAGAAAAAAAATTCCTACCACAAGAAACACGAACGCCCTATATCAATCATTATAGACCTCCAAATGACACAACAACCTAACTTGAATCGATCAATGGTTAATAGTTTGATAGGGGATATCAAGTTTCGCTTCACGCCCCACCTATTTCGGTCCCAGCGATGCCACATTCACCAAAATAAACACCCAAATCTAAAGCAAAAAATATCTTATTATTGAAATTACATCAAAATCAAAGGATCACGACATCCATATTGATTCAAAATCTATTGAATCTTACTCAAGTGCTTGAATCTAATCAACATGGTTAAACATTGGTGCTGAACCAACTAAGTCAATGATTTTAATCAACCGCAATTTTTAATTAATCAGCTTTCTTATCCAGTAATATCGTAAAAACAATTTATTTATTTGTTATTGATGTCAAACTTCTTTTCGGTACCACTTCAGCTTCAAAATTGTCCAATATTCGAATTATAATGATTTAGATATGGCTGGAATCGATCCTGGGCCTTTCTGTAAGTAAAAAAAAAGAGAGTGCTAGCCAAAAGGTTACTAGTTGACTGCTCAGAAAATCAAAGGAAACTTGAACGACTAATTATGGGTCGAGCGTGCCTTTATCAATTTTTAAAACAAGCTAATAACTATGAACACAAGAGTGGCTGTCTAATAAAATTAAGTTTAGGATACTCAGAATTCTTCAAGGATTCTTTTGATATGTTTTTTGAAGTTATATCTTTACTTTTGTTTTGCGTTTTGGAATTTAACCAAAGTTTATAGATGTACTATATTATAATTCTAATTTCAAAATGTCTTAATGAAAATTAAAAAAATTTCGAAACTCTAATTTTAGCACCATTCAGTAGAGAATTCAATGGAGTTTATTTTTCTATTTTTTAGATCGCTTTAATCGTATTGCATTGCGTGAATCTTTGCGTTCAAAATATGCAAAATTCCCATAGTTAAGAAAACTGGTGAAGACACACTTGAAAAACGCGAAACCTTTTAACTTAAACCCACAGAAGTACTTCAAAGAGGTTTAATTAGTTCAATGTCATAGATGTGATTACAAGAGTAAAACCATTGAAACCAGCGGGGCGTAAGGATTCGTTTGATACTATTTTGTTTATGTTTCTGGGTTGGCGTTGTGTAAACAGACGCGTTAAAAGGGTATCAGCTACAAAGGTAAACAAACTTCAGAAAACTTCCTCCTATATGTTATCTATAAAGATACAAGGTTCAATATGGGGCTCTTTTTGATCGCAATGACCCGTAGATTCTACTGGTATTACTCGTGTAATTGTATTTGTTGTGACTAGTGAGTTATTCTTCTTGTCATTTATTGGGTCTTGTTTTGATGCAC